ACAGCAACTTGTCTGTTCCCCTTTCCCCAATTCCCCAGCACTGTTCCCATCCCCCCAATTCCCCAATAAAAATCTTTAAAAAAAAAACAAAAAAAAAAAAACGTCCACACAAACATTTGTACACAAATATTTACACCCATGTTAGTCACAGTAGCCAAAAAGTAGAAAGAACCCAAATATCCACCAACTGATGAATGGATAAATAAAATGTAATATATCTATACAATGGAATATTATTCACCCATAAAAAGGAATAAAGTATGGATATATGTCAATGGAATATTATCCACCCATAAAAAGGAATAAAGTATGGATATATGTATGCTACAACACAGATGAACTTTGAAAACACTATGCTAAGTGAAAAAAGCCAGTCATAAAGGACCACATATTGAATGACTCCATGTACATGCAATGTCTGCAACAGACAAATAGAGACAGGAAGCAGGTTAGTGATTGCTTGGGGCTGGGGGTGATGGGGAGATAAAGGGATGACAGCTAAAGGGTACAGCATTTCTTTTTGAGTTGATGAAAATGTTCTAAAATTGACTATGGTGAATGGTTGCACATATCTGTGAATCTAGGAAAAACCACTGAATTGCACACTTGAAGCAGGTAAATTGTATGGTATGTAAGTTGTACCTCAATAAAGCTGTTAATAAAAAAGGGGAAAACAGGAAAGATCTGAGATGCAAGAATGTTGGATAAAGATACAGGCGAACACATGATAGCGCTAAACAAACCTCTGTATAAAATAATAATGTAAATTGTGATTTTAAAAAAGAGCCAGACAAATAGAATTGCAGACAAGAACTGCATGTATGTTGGGAGACAGAACTGGAATCAAAGTATTAAATATCTCATGTCCTTACACTGCATGTTTGTGTGGCCGGGCTTGAACAGTATGGGGGGTGGTTAAGTTATGGACTGACTTTAGACTTTAAATATGAACGGTCAAAGTGGACAAGTAACCACTAAAATAATATAAACAAGGTGTAACTTCCAAACTAACAGAAAAACATGGAACATAAACACTAACAAGCAGAAGTGAACAGAGGTCAGCAAACTGCAGCTGGGAGCCAGATCTAGCCCGCCACTTACTTGATGGTTTGACCGGACAGCGGTGCTCGTATGTTATCTGTGGCTGCTTCTGAGCAACAATGGCAAAGACGAGGACCTGCCACAGAGACCAGATGGCCTAGAAAGTCTAAAGCAGTTACTATCTGGCCCTTTATAGAAGAAGTGTGCTGACTCCTGCTGCAGAATACTGCACAACAGACAGCAAGCACAAGTCCTCTGAGCGGCAGGGTCCTGAGTCTGAAAATGAAGACAATATCCCTCCTCTTTCATTTTGTCAGAGGTACATTAGATACACTGCCTTCCAGAAAGAACTTTAACAGCCTGTGTTGGAGGAATGTTCTCAAGCTGCTCCCCAGAACAGCCCTCTTCTGATTCCAAGCACAGAACCTAACTCGTTAGGACAGAGAGGGACCCTGGTATTCCAACAGACACCTCAAGCCACGTTACATTCATACACGCCGGTGAACAATGCATGTAATGTGGACAAATTCCCCGAGTGGCATGTGTGTGTGTGAGTGGGTGAGTATGTATGACAGTGAGTATGTGAGTGTGTATGAGAGAGTGTGAGAGTGAGTGTGTAAGAGTGAGTGTGTGTGTGTGTTATCACACGTGTAGGTTCGTGCACCCAGAAGCACAGTCCAGATACAAGCAGTTCCATCACTGCTCAGATACTTCTATAGCCACACCCACTTTCCTTCTACCTTCTCCCCAGCCCATGGCAACAACGCATCCTTGTGATTTCAAGAATGTCCTCTAAATAGAATCAAGTTTGTGACCTTTGGGGATTGGCTTTCATCAGTCAGTGCAGTCCCCTTGGCATTCCCCCAGCGTTGTGTGTGTGTCCAGTTTGTTGCTTTTCATTGCCCAGCAGTGCCGGTTTGTGCCTGTTGTAGTCACCTGCTGACAGACACTTGGGTCGTGTCCAGGCTGAGCTGGCATAACTGTGTAAGGTGCTAGGCACACTCCTGTACAGAGTGTAGGGCAAGCAAAGTCTCCCCTTCTCTGTGACAAGTGCCCAGCAGCACTGCTGCGTGTTTAGTTTGGATGAAGCTGCCACACTGTTTGCCGGAGTGGCTGGTGCCCCCTCTACTCCCCACCAGCATCTCTGCGCCAGTGTTCATGCTCTCCCAACGCACTCATTTTAGCCCTTCAGAGAGCTGTGTAATGACTGCTTGAATCTCTTACAAGATTATGTTTACATATGAGGTTAAAAACTGAAATAAAATTAAAAAGTGCTTATTTAGTAGGAACTTTGAAAACTATAGAACTGTATAAAAAAGGAAGTAAGGTACTATGTTTCCATCCTTGGAAAAAGAAGTGATGCTGTTATTTATTCCTAAATCAATGTACCCAAGTTGCAGACAACAGAGGGCAGATTTGGTCACGTTATTCTGAGGCAGAGGCCCCATTTTGGATCCCTCCCCACGTTGAGGACAGCTCTGCCTTTGGAGGTAACCTCCTCAGTCCTCATCCTCAAAAACCTGATGGCTGCAGAACATGGAGCAGCCAGCCTCGGCCAGAGACACAGTGGGAACCAGACACATCGTCAGCGCCAGGGCAGGTGAACCAAGGGCTCCAGGGCACTGCCCACATGCACGCAGAGAAGGAGGTCACTCCGTTTTGTTCTCGCCTTTTGTTACCTTGCTCCCACTAGAAAAGGATTCTTTAACCATTCTAGCATCTAACAACACCTCTGGCAGCCCAGTGAAGCCGACGGATCCCTCTCAGAAAAACATTTTTAAATGCAGAAAATAAAATACAGAAGGTGATCATATCAGATACCAAGCTTTTTACAACGTGTTACACAGAACTACGTAACAAAACCTCAGGAGTGGCAAATGCAAAGCTTCCATGAAGTGTCTGCCCCAGCCAGTGTGAAATGCTAACATCTGGTTTCGCGTGGTATGGTTGGGGGTCCTGTGACCTTACAGTGGTTGCTGCCATATTCATAATGGAAGGAAACACTAAATTTCAGTCAGAGGTTAGTAAAAGATGTAATTTTTTTTCTATCCAAGTTCATGGAGCCTCTGAATTCCCTGATTTGACAGAACCAGAAAGAATAGAACTGGGCCTCTTTCCTAAGAGATTGTCCCAGGCTGCCCCTTGGCCTGAGATCTGGGGGAAGGAAGCCCCCATCCCCGCTCCAGCCACGGGTGAGGGGGTCTGGGCCCCAGTAAGGGCTGCAGGGAGAGAGATGGTTGGCGCCAGCTGGTTCTAAGGCTGCTGAGAAGGAAGCCCAGAGCAATGAACTCAGGTCCTGGACCCCAGCACGGGGATGTGGAGAGGGCTGGCCCCGGGGTGGCTGGAGCCAAGTGAACAAATCCTCACCTGAATCAGTCCACCTGGGGGAAACTAGCTTTTTTTTTTTTAATCCCCAGTTTTTCTGTTTTAACCATCAGGGGTAGAGGGAAACAACAATTCCCAGTAAAACCCCAACATAGTGTTGTTAAGAGCCTAAGGAGCACACAGTGTGTTTCCAGAAAGGTCCACCCACCTTTGTAAGCGCAAAAGCCACTGTCCCATCATCCTCAGTGGAGAGATCGAGCAGCTTCTGGTAAAACGCTTCATCATAAGGCCCATCTATTTGCAATGTTTTTCTGAAGGAAAAGGCACAGAAAATCAGGATGAGATAGCGGACTGGAAATTGTTTCTTAAACTGCTAACAATTTAACAATCACACGTCTGGTTTTAAAGAACACCTAAGGGATCTTCTTCCTAATGCTACACTTTGTCCTAAAGCATCAAAGCTTTAAAGAAAACTTGCAAGACCAGAACCCGGGAACCAGAGGCTGGACGTGACTTGTTTCTGACAAATAGCATCCAAATGGCGTCAGGGTCAGAGACCCCAGTGAAGGGACAGTGGGGTGAAGGGGGTCCCAGCCCCCCACACGCCACAGGTGTAGACCCCAGCGACCCATCAGGAGGCCCCGGATGCTCAAGAAGGGAGGCGCCCCACACCAGGCCTGGGGAAGAGGCTGTGGCCGTGGAGCAGCACTGCCCCCTGCAGGCTTGGCCCCACTCAGGACGGAACGGCCTGCTGTCAGTCACAGGATGTGCTTTCTTTTCCAGAAACGGGCCAGTGACCATCGATTTGAAGGTACCCTGATCCTCCTTCAGGCAGTACTGAATCCCTGTGTGGGGCCTGACACCTGGGGGCAAGGAAGGGAGGCGGCCAGAGTGGGTCAGCCTCCTGGGAGGCCTGTGCTATTCTCCCCATCTCACCCTCAGGGCTGTTTGGGGCCCCACAGGGGCCCAGGAGGGGCAGGAGCACCATGGCCCAAGGCTCACCTCTGCTCAGGAAACTCCTCCAGGTAGCGCTCAACCCGCCGGTACAGAGGGTAGAGGCCCTCGATGTCCAGCAGGTCCAGCTTCTGCACCTGGAGGGTTTTGTACAGAAGACAGCCCTTCGGTAACCCTGAGCGCTCCATGCTGCTTCTTCCTACCAGAACATGAGGGGAAAACAAGAGGTTTACTATCCAAGACTGCAGAAGGCGGTGGCACAGGCTGCACCCTGGCCCACGGAGTGGAGTAGTGGTGGCTGCTGGCATGTGCCTGGGGCCAAGCCCAAAGGAAAGGGCAGGTGCCCACGTCTTGCTGGGCCTCTGTTCCATCTCAGCACCCTTCAACTCCATCACTCCAGCCAGCTCTAAGCTTGGAGATAACCCTCGGTCTAAATAACACTCATCACAGGCATAAAATTTAAAATGACTGTGTTGACACCCCCAAATCTGCACAACCACGTCTGTGGAGCCACAGCCCACATGGAGAGTTGGGGTGGCCACACAGGGACACTGGTGATCTGTTGTGCTTGGATGGCCGCACGGCAAAAACACCTATAAGCCACACGGGGTAGGGCTGCTGTCCTCCGAGGTCACACAGCCTCCGAGGGCTCTGAGAGATCACAGGGCTCTTAGCACAGACACTGAAGAATCACAGTCCTCCTAGTCAGCCCCAAATCCGTACCTGGCTACAGCTCCACAGACCCAAGTGTGTTGTGGAGCTGTCAGTAGATGACAAAGGGGAGAAGGAGAAGCCCACAAACACTCATGACAAAAACCCAAACCAGCTACCAGACCACCTTGAAGTTCAAACAGCCAGTCACTGGGAGTCTGTGATGAATGAGGCTTCCAGCAGCAGGTGCCCAGGGACATAAGCCCCATAGGCGTGTGTTCACGCCTGTCTGCAAACCGCAGGCCACTGCGGCCACCCCCACCCTGAAAGGCCTGCGCTGTGGGGCTCCAACTCCTGTGCCTCAGTTCTCTGTGTGCAAAAAACAGGCCAAGGAACCTACTCCCAGGATCACCGAGAGGATGAACTAGCATAATGAAGAAAGCCATTAGGAAACTGCAGAGGAGGTACAGGCATGTGGGATGGTGTTTTAGGGGAACCCTACAACCCAAACATGTAATGCAATTTACAAACCCAGACTGAAGATGAAAAAGGGAGTCTCCCTAATGGGGCTGAGAGGCAGGGGCTGTCTTTGGGGAGCCCTGCCAGGGCCCAGGGTACTCCCACAGAAGCCCCATGATGCCAGGCAGGACCCATGCAGGCCTCATCCAGGCTCGGCCTACTCGCCCACCGCCCACCTGGCCTACCTTGGTGACGCAGGCTCCTGCGGAAAGGGCTGGCTTCGCAGACACATGGGCCCCGCGACCCGGGCCCCAGCTTCATGGCACTCGCCCAGCCCTTGTCTGAGCCGCTGAGCAGCACCCGAGTGATGACACGCACCAGCTCCCGTATCACGGCCCTCGTGCAGTGGGGCCCGCTTGCCAGGCCATTAGATGGGAAGAAGAAAGGCTTCAGGTGATGTGCCAGCTCACTCCAGTCCGCCGCAGGGCTCCGGGCGTCCTTGCAGCCATAGATCAGCTCCCCGTTCTTCAGGAGGGAAAAGGGACAGGGAAGTGACACTGCCAACACGGGGTCACCTCTGTCCCCACCCTGGGCAGGCAAAGGGACCTGACACCATATATTTGCCCACTCTGGGGTCCTTGCACATTGTGGCCCAGGGGGAAACCCACCCTCAGGCACCCTGTCATTGACCAAGAGGCAAATCCCACTGGAATGTGGAAAAGAAGACAAGGTCTCAAACACTGAAGACCAGAGTCCTGGCCTGAAATGCAAACCCTCAGACCAGAACATGCAGCATGTTGGCAGCAAACTCAGCCCAAACTCCCAAAGACCCCAGCCCAGTACTCGAGAGGCTGCATGACACCTGTGCTCCTGAAGGACACATGGTGTCAGTCATACTCTGAGAGCAGGGACGCTTCTGGGCCAGTGTGGATGTCTGTAGGCGGCCAGATTTCCAGAGGCCTTCGGTCCTCTGCAATGGGCTGGGCCAGGCTCTCCCCAGGGCCAGTGAGGCCACCAGCATCTCTAGTGTAGAGTTCTTCGTCTTCGAGGCCATCCTGTCTTCTAAGTCCAAGTCCAGCAAAGAAACTCTTTATGGCACCGATGTTCCCAGGGACACCCGTGGACCCAACCCTATGACCTTTACGGGGTCAGGAGGTCCATGGTATCTGTTGGGAAAGCCCCTAAGAGAACCCTGGTCCACCGAACCCAGAGGAGCCGAACCCAGTGGAGTGGCAGACCCTTTGCCTCTAATTTCTTTGTCTGTGAGATGGTGTGGTCAGCAGCTTCTGGGATGGTCCCCAATGACCCCCATCCCTGATACTCACACTCTATAGTCCTCTGCACACTGGAGGTTTGGTCTGTGTGACCGACAGAATATGGGCAAAGCAACAGCACCTCCCTGCACAATTCTGTTTAAAAGATGCCTGGCTTCCATCTTGGAGGCTCTCTTCTCTGATCATGGCCACTGTGTTAAGCAGCCCCACGGAACCCCTAGTGGCCAGGAATGAAGGCCTCCTGCCAAGACTGGGGCGGGGGCGCCTTCTTGGGAGCAGAGACTCTGGCCCCAGTCAAGTCTTCTGACGGGATGCAGCCTCCAAGGGACCCTGAATCAGAATCACCTATGCTGCTCAATTCCTGGCCAAAGGGACTGTGAGATGGTAAGTGACTGTTACACAGCAGTAGATAATATAGATGAGGGCAATCCCTGCTGTGCCCCCAGGCGGCAGGTGGGCGTCAACTCAATCCACCAAGGAGTGTGGCCAGGGTATTCCTCCTTTGGCAAGGTCCTGGGATTCAGCAGCATGGTGCCGCCCCTGAGAAGCACTTGTTGGCACTGTCAGAGCTCTCCAAGTGGTCCAGGACGATGGGGAAACACAGAGGCTACTTTAGGCACAGGGCCAGAGGAATCCTGACCTTGATATGGGTCTTACGGTGGGAGGAGGCTGTGCCACGAAAGGGAAGGCAGGAGCTCCCAGGAGGAAAGCAGGCAGAGAGGCAGTGCTGAACCAAAACTGGGCACCATGGGCGGCAGCCAGCTGATCCCTCCTCCTAGCCCACGCGCGGCTGAGTGACCCTGGAAGCAGGAGGCCCCTTCCCCAGTGTCTGCAATCCGAACAGGTGGGACTTTTACATGTACAAATACAGTTGCTTAAGGACCTCATGTGACATTTGGCAGAGAGCCATCATCCAAGTTTGACCAGTGTTGGGGTGGACAGAGCTACAGCTGTGGAGTATGAACAATGGTGGCACCAACCGTGACCCAGGAAATCTCTCCACCCTTGAACTTCATGACAGAAGGCGTGGGCTTCAGAGTCAGAGCGTGCTTGTCAGAGGTGATGGCACTTGGGGCAATGTCCTCATTGCTCCTGGTATTATCTTAGAAAGCCATTCTGCATCCCTTCTCTTAATCCATCTCTTGTGAAACTATTAGCTCGATCTCCGGATTTTCTTTCACACTGACTTCAACAGAAGCAGCAGACAGTTGGGTTCTCAGGCCCAGGGCCCAAGCCCTGCCCGGCAGTCTGTCCAGGGGCCGAGCCAGACCCACCACTCAGCTTAACTATGGGCTGACAGACCAGCCCAGGCGGGGGCAGCAGTAAAGGGTCCACGTGGGACAAAATGCAAACCTTACCATGGGTTCCAATTAAATCCCAGATGAAAGGAAATTTATCCTTAGAATTTAAACATAAAATTGTTGAAGTCTTTATAAGAATTAAAAATATAAACTGATTTTGAAATATGCCTTCCTTTTCTAGATTTGGGAAGGTGGAGGCAGATGGGGTAAAGTCCATTCACTCTGATCAGATTTCTGAGCCAGATGAGGGGAAGCGAGTCAAGACTAGACCCCCCTCCACCCGCACACCCGAACCCCCTTAGGGGCAGCCAGTGTGTAGAACGGCGCCATCCACAGAGCTGGATGCAGAGGGCACAGGGCACAGGATCCAACAGCCCTGCTTCTCTACTCAGATCTCAGGCCTGCAAGCCTGAGCCTGCCGCAAACTCTCACATATGTATCACACTTAATTAGGACAGAAGCGGAACGGGGGACAGAGTCAGTGGCAAGGAGAAAAGGAGATGACAAGGGGAACCCCAAGGGACCCATTTCCAACAAAGGCCATACCTAGCTCTCCTCCAGGTCTGGGCCAGCCCTGCCCCCCTTCTTTCCTCACCCCTTCTGATGACCCCACTCCTGCTAGCACCAGGCCAGGGCACCAGTGCGGGTGGCAATGAGGAAGCTAAAGATGCCTGTGCCAGATGGTGAATGTTCCATGTGCAGAACTCTTTCCTTACATGGCCAGGACACAGGATGATCAGAGCTGCCAGACTGTGAGAATTCACTGACTGAAAAGGAGGTATGCAAATTACAAGTTCCCCAAGTTAACCAGGAGCGAATACACAGGTGTAGCCACCTGCCAGGTTGTGCCATGCAGCTCCTGCTCCCACCTCAACCACACAGGCCTCAGGGACACACCGGATGACTGAGACGCAGCCTGACCACATCAGTGCCATCCTCACCCAAGAACCAGAGTCAGGTTCTGTGCATCAGGGGAGCCTGAGGCCACCCAGTGGTCAAGGAGTCGATATCACATACCCGAGGGATCATAGCATGTTGTACCAGTGGAATGGGCCTTGGAAAAAGGACTCAGAGGACCATGCCAAACCAGACCCAGTCCAGATGCCCTCGTCTACAAGGTCACAGGGACCCGTCAGGCACCAGAGGGCCACTTCACCTGGCTCAGTCCAAGACCCGCTGGTTCCACCCCATAGAACAGAAGTCACACTTACCTTAAATATCTTTAAGTTGTTCTGTGCCTCCTGCAACAAGCTTTTCAGGGCAAAGTACATTCTCTGTTTATTTCTAAAAGGGGAAAGGTTTACTGATGGGATTACAAGCAGTCTTTGCATTCACCTGCTGTAGCTTAGGGGACATGCCCGGGAGTGGCTGCTCCAGGTATCTGAGTTTTGTGGGTTAAGAAGCCACATTCTCCCCAGCTCTCCTCGCAGAGGAACCCAATCCTTGCTCCTAATCCCCATCCTGCTCTGGGCCCCTTCCCCGTGGCAACATCTCCCTAGCTACTGGCTCCCACAAGTAACCTATAGGAACCTACAGAGGCAACCCTGATCCCAGGCAAGAGCCTGAGCCCTGCCCAGGGCCCTGGTTATATGCAGGCCAGAAGCCCCCACCTCTCAGAATGCCTGCCTGACCCCACCTCACAGAACACCCTTCCCACACCAACCCCTCATCATAAGAACTTCACCCCACAGAAAGCCCCACCCACGGTCCCCCCTCACAGATACTCCCCATGGCTCCCCCTCACGGAATGCCCTCCACGGTCCCCCCTCACGGAACACCCCCCATGATCCCCCCTCACAGAATGTCCCCCATGGTCCCCCTTCATGGAACATCCCCGATGATCCCCCCCTCACAGAATGTCCCCACCTCCAGGGAAGGCAGCACTAGGGACAAAGTAGATGTGTTCTCTTACCCTGAGTAGAGATCGAGGGGACAGTATTTACTTATCTGCTTCCACTTCCCAGTTGCCACCTGTTAAGAAACCACCACGTGTGTCAATGACTGGATTGGGGGCAGCACTGGGCTAACTCTAACACAGAACAGACTAAGATGACGAAGTTCTCAGCAGATGCTACCTCCAGTTGCACATCTCGAGCTGGGGTAGAGGGCTGACTCCAAACCAGGAAACCTTGGCCCTCCTCGGAAAGCCTCATGTGGCTGCCAACCCAGCCCTACATGTGAGCATGGAAGCAGCAGAAGTACCTTTTTAAATTATATGGCTAAACTTTGGTCATCAGATAAACAAATCTTTCAAATTATAATATCCAAGAAGGGGAGGGTGTGGCTAACAAGTAATTTCATGTTGTTGGCGAGAAAAAAAATTGACACGATCTTTTGAAAGGCAACTTGCGGGTTTCCATCAAAATTTAAAATGTGTGGGCCGGACGAGTGGCACGTTGGTTGAGAACTGGCTTGGGATGCCAGAGGGCCCCAGTTCGGATCCCACATTTGAGGGCCAGTGACACTGCCCTCTACAGCTAAAATGCTGAACAACAGCTCAACCTGGAGCTGGGCTGCCGTGAGACACTGGCGGCGGCATAGGCTGTAGCTCCTGCTGCAGTGGGTTGCCATGGGCTACCATGTGTAGCCAGCAGCCAGCGTGAGCAGCCAGCAGCTGCTGAGTGGCCGTCCAGAAGCCAGCGACTGATCTGCCTTGTCCGGGAAGAGCGCAATGATGGTGCCAACTTGGGCTAGTGAAGCAACATCCTCCACAACTAGACTGAAGAATAAAACGACAGCAACTTGTCTGTTCCCCTTCCCCCAATTCCCCAGCACTGTTCCCAACCCCCCAAATCCCCAATAAAAATCTTTAAATAAAAAAATTTAAAAATTTAAAATGTGGGTGTCCCCTGACCTGGCAAATCCGCAAGGAATCACAAGGTCAAGGACGTTCACTGCTGCCTGACAGCAAGACCTAGAGACAGCTAAGTAAATCACAGCACCTCTGCTTTCATGGGCAAGGATCAGCAGGCCACATGAATGAAGGAATGAATAAATGATATGCAGCCACTAACAGAAAGAGGCAGAGCAGCTAAAAATCATCAAGATTTAGTCAAGAAAAAAAGCAACTGGCAGAATGAAGCATATGACGTCATTTTGTTAAAAAAAAAAGGTTCTGTGCATCTATACATGCATATATAAAAAGCCTTAAAGGATACACAACAAACAATCCCCAAGGATTCTTTAAGTGAAAAAAGCAATTATCAGAACAATTATTGTGGACCTTTCCCATGTTTGCTTTAGAAATGTGTTTACATGTACATGCGAGCACACATCAGAATACGTGTGGAGACAGGCAACACCTCATTTCCACTTGAACAACATGTATTTTTGTTGGCACGGAAAGAAGTGTGGAAGGATGTAAACTGACAACATAAGTGACCTCTGGGAAGGCAGGTGACCTCATTTATACAATTCCATATTTTCTCAGTTAAATGAGAAGGTATTGCTTCAGAGTAAAAAATAGTCTTTAAAAATCCATCATATATGTTGAAAACGAATGGTGACCATGAAAACCATCTCCTAAAGGGAATGGCTCATATATTTGCTTTTCCCTAAGAGCCTAGCAAGTTATAACACCACAAAGAAGAGACAGGGTACATCAGCAAAAATGGTAGAGTAAGGACTTCTGGAAATTCTCTCCTCTGTGTGGGTAATGAGAAACTGTGAGAATCAAAATTTTCAGAACTCTGAAAATTAACCAGAGGCTTGCAACAATCTGGGGAACATTTATTCAAGAAAAACAGCCAAGTTTAAATAAGAACAGTGAATTCTGTGGAACTTTTAATGCCCTATTCCCACCCCCGCTCTCTCTAGTTCCAACAGCCCCAGTCATGGTGAAAACATAAGCCTGGCAGCCCTCCAAAGGGGGCTAAACAGGTTGGGAGCGTCTCCAAAGCCACATTCCCAGAGAATGGTCATTATTTGACCAGTCTCTTGGTTTCCTGTCTTCATTGACCTATTTCAGAGCTTACCAGGTACAATCAGGGCATTTCCTCCCGGGGGCATTTATGAAAAATATTAACTTCAAAACTGCCTGAGATAGTGGATAACAGTTGTGGCAAACAATAGGCTAAACCTAAAGCTGAAAAGAAGAAGGTGAGGAGTGAGAAGCACACAAGGCTCTGAAAACTCCAGCACACCTTGAGCATGGAGGTCACGCATAGGCTCCAGAGAGCCCCGAAGGCCCCACCTCTGCTCTTCTGTGGCTGTGGAAGTGCAGGCTAAGGCAGAGCTGCACTGTCCTGCTGAGGGTCGATGGCAGCCTCAGCAGGCACATGAGGCCCTGGCAAAGCCTGACAGGCTTACTGGTTTCGGGCATTTAAGAAAATCTGTCAAACCATTAGCTGCCCACTAAGCTAACCGAGCAGAGACTTCAGAGGCCACACACAACAAAAAAAGATTTCTCAAAGTTAGCACAGAAAGGTCACTAAAAAAACAATAACAATTACAACAAGCAGCAATAACAAATCCTATAGAGGTTGTAGAACCTGATTTCCAAAATGGCTACATTATATTACTCAAAATGCCTGTTTTCAGTAAATCATTACAAGACATGCAAAGCAACAATAAAGTATAATCCATATACAGGAAAAAAAGCAAACAACAGGCTGTCCCTGAAGAAGCTCAGACACTGAACTTATTATACAAAAACTGTAAACCAGCTACTGTAAATATGCTTAGAGCTAAAGGAAAACAAGGACAAAGATCTAAAGGAAACAAGGGGAACAATGTCTTAATAAACAGAGACTATCAATAGAGACAGAATTTATAAAAGAGAACCAAATAGAAATTCTGCAGTTGAAAAGTACAATAACTAAAATGAAAAAGTCACTAGAGGGGCTTAACAACAGATCTTAGTAGGCAGAAGAAACAATCAGTGAATTTTAAGATAAAATCCAAGAGATGCACACCTAAACAGATCATAAAAAACTGTCCAAAGACCAATAACAAGAGACTGAACTGGTAATCAAAAATCTTCCAACAAAGGGAAACTTAGGATGAGAGGGATTCACTAGTGAATTATTTCAAATATTTAAAGAATCAACACTAATACTCAAACTCTTCCAGAAAAATTGAAAAGTGGAGAGAAACACTTCCTAATTCACTCTACGAAGCCAGTTATCACCCAGGTACCAAAACAAGACAAAAACATTACTAGAAAAGAAAAAAAAAAAAATGATGACAACCCATGTCCCCTATGAAAACATCCTTTATAAAAACTAACAAATGACATTCAGCAACATGTGAAAGGGATTCTACACCTATAAACAAGTAGGATTTATCCTAGAAATACAAGCGTGGTTCAACATGAAAATCAATCAATGTAATACACCATGTTAATAGAAAAAGGAAAACACCTCATGATCATTTCAATAGATATAGGGCAAGTATTTGACAAAATCCAACATCCTTCCATGATTTAAAAAAAAAAAAAAGACTCAAAAAGGACATTTATAACAAACTCATAGCGAACATTACACTCTATGGTAAAAACCTGAAAGCTTTCCCCCTAAAATAAGGATGTCCACTCTTGCTACTTCTATACAACATTGTACTGCAAGTTCAAACCAGAGAAATTAGACAAGAAAAACAAATAAAGAGCATCCAGACTGGAAAGAAAGAACTAGAACTATCTCTATCTGCAAGTGATCTGATCATGTATACAGAAAATCCTAAGAAACCACAAAAATAAATAAAAATAAACAAGATCATCAAGGGTGACAAGATAAAAGCTCAATATACAGCACACAGTAGGCACCCATTCTGTGTGGTATTTTTCTTCAGATGTTCCAGGGTCCAATCTTTAGTTCCGAGGTTCTCCAGAGGCAGTGGAGCCTGTGAGGGTCTCCTGATCCCTGGATTCCAGTTATGCAGGGTGTTCTGGAATTCAGTAGCTTTATCCTGATTCTCCACTACCTTCCTGATGACAGTAAAGGCTGTAGCTCCCTGGTGGGTCAGTTCTCTGGTGTTCTGATTCCTAGAAGACAACCTATGGCTCACTTTTCCGGTTTTCCAATGAGTCTACAAACACTCATTTTTCTGTACTTTTCTGCTTAGAATACCTAGAGTTGTTTCTGTGTTTCCACTGAACACTGAAAAATATAAGATAAGGTTGGTGGGCCAATGATGATCAAAACTGCATTTTTTTCTGATTGACTGGGTCTTAAGTATCAATGAGCCAAGTAGAAGAAATTCCAACCCTTGCCTTGGCTTTGGGAAGTTGGACCAGTGAGTGTTCCAATGGAAGGGAACAGAAAAAATGCTTTAGAGGAGCTGAGTCAGAAGCTGGCCACACAGAGGGGTTACTAGAGTTGGCATTCTATCTCCATTTTTTCAGAGGATACCCGAGACCCAACCTCACTCCAGTCCCTACCCTCCATCAGAAGAACTTTGACAGCTGACCACAGTCTAAGAGGGACTGTTAACATCACATCTGTCACGAGCTACAGTCACCTTAAGAGAAGAAATGTCCCAACTGTGAAAGGATCCTGCACTAGTTAGGGGTTGGAGCACAGCATGAATAGGTAGAAGACACACATTTGTCATTGTGCGCTCTACCTACAAAGTAAGCCTCTTTGCCATTAAAAACAGAAATCAATATGCAAAAATCAATTGTATTTCTTAACCACACACCCATTAGGATGGCTACTATCAAAGACAGAAAATAGCAAGTGTTGGGAAGGATGTGGGGAAACTGGAACTCTTGTGTACTCTGGTGGAAATGTAAAATGGTGCAGTCGCTGTGGACAACAGTACGGCGGTTCCTCATAAGTAAAAACAAAATTACCAAATGATCCAGCAATTCTATTTCTGGGTATATACGCAAAAGAATTGGAAGCAGGGTCTCAAAGAGATATTTGTACACCCGTGTTCATAGCAGCATTATTCACAATAGCCAAAAGGTGGAAGCAACCCAAGTTCAATGGATGGATGACTAGATAAACAAAATGTGGTATATACATTCAATGAAATATTATCCAGCCTTAAAAAGGAACGGAATTCTTTGTGACACGTGCTACAGCATGGATGAACCTTGAAGATGCTACAGCATGAATGAACCTTGAAGACATTATGCTAAGTAAAATGCACCAGTCACAGAAGGACAAATACTGTATGATTCCACTTATATGAGGTACCAATAGTAGTCAAATTCATAGAAACTACAATGGTGGTTCCCAGGGGCTGAGGGAAGGAAAAAATGTAGAGTAGTTTAATGGGGAGTGAGTTTCAGTTTTGTAAGATGAAAATGTTTTAGAGATGGATGGTAGTGATGGTTGCACAACAGTGTAAATATACTTAATGCCAGTGAACTGTAATGGTTAAAATGATAAATTTCACAACAATTAAAAAAATATGTATTTTAAAAATCAATTGTATTGCTATGCAATAAACAACATGAAAATGAAATATAAGAAAATTCCAATTACAATAGCATCCAAACAAATAAAATACTTAAGAATAAATTTAACAAAGAAGTATAAGACTTATACACTGAAACTATAAAAAATCACTGAAAGAAATTAAAGACCTAAATAAATGCAAAAACATCCTGTTGTTCACAGAGTATTAATACTGTTCAGGTGGCAATACCTCCCAAATTGATCTGCAGTTTAATGGGATCCCTATCAAAAGTACCAGCTGGTTTCTTTGAGGAAATTAAGAAGCTAAAGGCATCAAAATTGGAAAGGAGGAAGTAGAACTCTCTATTCACAAATGCCGTGATCCTATACATAGAAAATTTCAAAGAATCTACAAGAAGGCTACTACAGCTAATAAGAAATTTAGCAAGGTTACAGCGTACAAGATCATCACACAAAAATTAGCTGTGTTTCTATACACCAGCAATGAACACTCCAAAAAGGAAATTAAGGAAGCAATTCCATTTATAATCACATTTACAACATTACAAAAGAATAATATAACTAGAAATAAACTTAATCAAAGTGGTAAAAGACTTGTACACTAAAAACTACAAAAAGTTGGAAGAAATTAAAGAAAACTTTAATAAGTGGAAAGACAGCCTGTATTCATGGATTTTAAGACTTAACATTGTTAAAATGGCAATACTACGCAAAGTGATCTACAGATTCCTGCAATTTCTATCAAAATTCCAAGTCATGTTTTGCAAAAATGAAAAATACAATCCTCAAATTCATATGTAATTTGGCCCCAAATAGCCAAAACAATCTTGGAAAAGAAGAACAAAGCTGGAGGACTAATACTTCCTGATTTCAAAACTCACTACAAAGCTACGGCAATCAAAAGAGTGTGGTGCTGGCATAAAGACTGACATACAGACCAATAAAATAGAAAGCCAGTAAATAACTCATCATATACATGGCCAAAAGATCTGCAATAAGGGCTCCAAAAACATTCAGTGGAAAAAGAACAGTCTTTTCAACAAATGGTGCAATACAACTGGTATCCACATGCAAAAGAATGATCTTGAACACTTACCCAACACCATATACAAAAATTAACTCAAAAAGGATCAAAGATGTAAACATAAGAGATAAAACTATAAAACTCTTAGCAGAAAACATAAGGAAAAACCTCCATGACCTTGGATTAGGCAAAGATCTCTTGGAATGTTATCAAAAGCACAGGCAACAAAAGAAAAAGTACACAAACTGGACTTTACCAAAATTAAAAACTTTGTGCACCAAAGGACACTATCAACAGAGAAGACAACAGACAGAATGGTAGAAACTATTTGCCAATCACATATCTGATAAGAGATTAATGTCCAGAATATATAGAGAACCCCTAAAACACTACAACAGAAAAACAAACAACCTGATTCAAAAATGGGGCAGAGGACCTGAATAGACATCTCTCCAAAGACGTACATGAAAAGCACATGAAAAGATGCTAAACATCACTGTTGGGGAATGCAAATGAAAACCACAATGAGATGCCACTTCACGCCCATTGGGATGGCTGTGCCCACAAACAGGGATAACAAGGGTTAGCGAGGATGTGGAGAAATTAGAACCCTCACACATTGCTGTGGGAATACAAAATGGTGCAGCAGCTGGGGAAAACAGTGTGATGTTTCTCAAAGAGTTAAACATAGAATTCCCCTAAGACCCAGCAATTCCACTCCGAAGAATCTACCCAAGAGACCTGAAAACAGATTCAAACCAGCACATGTACACGCATGTTCGCAGCAACATTAGTCACAGTAACCAAAGGTGGAAACAACCATATGTCTGTCCCTCAGTAGATAAATGGATGAACAAAATGTTCCTACACAATGGAATGTTACTCAGCCAGAAAAGGAATGAAGTGCTGATATTGCGTCAACATGGAAGAATCTTCAAAAACATTTGCTAAATGAAAGAAGATAATCACAAAAGGCCACATATTTTTTTTATTCCATTTATGTGAAACGTCCAGAACAGGTAAAGCCACAGAGACATGGTTAACAGGGGATGGAAGCACAGCAGATCAGACAGTGACTGCTCCTGGGGACAGGGCTTCTTTTTGAGGTGATGACAATGTTCTGGAATTAGAGCAAGGCTGCACAAATCTGTGAGTACACTTAAGTACACTGAATTACATACTTTAAAAGGGTGAATCTTAGGTAAGAGAATTATATCTCGATTTCAAAGAAAAGGTGAACATGAAGTACTTGTGAAATAAAAAGTATATATAAATATCTACATCATCTGCTACTCTTCTGAAAACTCTGGGTGGTCACACATAGGCCCAAGAACGTGCGCAGGCACGCGCACACACACACACACACACACACACACACACACACACACACACACACACACACGGCCATGCATCTGTGCATGGAGGTGCCCTGCTGCTGGGCTCTTCTCACCTTGAGGTGCTGGTGCATGCAGTAACGGCACACCTTATGCTTCATCTCATGCGTAACATCGCTGGAGAGAGGAATAAACCCACATTTTGGCTGCAGATAAACAAGTGAGGAAGAAAAACTTCTTAGGGAGAAATCACACACCTTAAGTGGACATATAACTAACTACGAGATAATGGAGGGCAACACCCAAGAAACATCCCCAAGAAACAAGAAACATGAAACATGTTAGACAGAAACATCCCCAAGATGCTTTTCTCTCCAGCTTCCTTCATTGCATCACATAAACATCTCCTTGCTGCTAGAGCATCCAAGGCCAGAATGCTCACTGGGGAAGAACAGTGGTACCTCAATTGCTGGCCTAAAAAAGTACAACACAGAGTAGCTTTGTGTTTTCATTCAAGTGAGACTGGAAAGACTCAAGGACTGCAGACCTGCCCCAAGCTCCCACGTCCAAGGAGCAGAACCCTCGTTCCTTCTGACAAGACTTCATGAACTGGAAAGTGCCATCTGACGGTTGCTAGGCTCCCAGAACCTCTGGAACGCTAGCTGTCTTCTAAAAGCCCTGGATTATCAGCACCCACAACAAGCAAGACTTGTACTTGGCACTGGGGCACTGAAGACCATGTCACTGTTGTCTCTGATGCCTAAGACACTCGCCCTCTGGTTGGGGAAGCAGATAATCAGTCCCCACTGAGCACCCTGGGCTGACAGTGCTCAGGGCCAAGGGCATGACTTTGAGTCAACACCCAGAGATTTGTAGGAAGGAGACAGATACCAGCGTGGGATGCCTGGGAAGCTTCCTGAGGAAGACATGGGCGGCTGCCCTGGACACTGGGCAGCAGAGCTGGAGCCAGGGGCCTGGCCTTATCCAGCAGTCACTGCCCTGTACTAGATGAGTAATGCCCTTTGTCTGCCCCCTCAGGACACCTGTCCAAGACAAACCAGGGCCCTGAGTCACACAGGCTTCTGTGCCTCTGGGGAGGTCTCTCTTAATAGGACAGAAGCAAAGGAACGGAGTGCCACCCAGTCTAAAAAGCGACCCTTGAACTGACCTCCTGGAGTACTGCATGCAGTATCACCAAGTGGCCAAGGGGGCACAGCAGGGAAGGAGGTCAGGAGGGGGCCTGTGGGCTGCACCCTCTAAGGAAAACAGGATGGAACCTGACATACTTCCTTCTGCGGGCCACTGACCAGGGCTTGTCCCTGGCTGGCTCCCCATCGTAGCAACTGGGAATGGGCCTAAATCTAAAGGTCATGTCTGGCAGGTGGGAGGAACTAAGACAGCAAGGTGCAGGTAGTATCCATGGAAGGAGTGGGAAGCAAGCCGAGTCTCTGGGAGCTGCGGGCCCCAGAGAAGGGGCTGTGGGGCCCAGTGTGGGGACTACCAGGAGCTTCTGTGGGAAAGTGTACTCCAGACAGATAAGGATTTACAACCTGGCCCAACCTTTCCCTTTTTCCCCACACACTTCTCCCTTGACAAAACTTCACCTTGATCTCTACACACAGAATTGGCCGGTGCTCCGCAAAATGGTAGGTCTGAAGTCTGGCTAAATTGGGAAGGCACAGAGCATAACCACTGAGAGTGTCCAGGTCCTTGTCACAGCGAGATTCTAGAAAACAGAGCAGTGCAAGGATCAGTGCAAGAGATACAAGATGATCCCACAACATCCCACGACTTGGCGGCTTCCTGATGGGGAAGGGTCAGCCTTGCCTAAGAAAAGGCTGTCCTTGGCCTCCAGCTCCTGGGAGGTCACCTCTAAGCCTGGGATGTCCTGCCCGGGGAATGTCCGTGTTCACCTGGGGCCTTTGGGCCACACTGTGATTCGTGGTGGGGGCGTGGGTCCCACAGTATCAGCTCAGCCTCCAAAGGGGCTGCAGATGGAGGGCATCCAGTCAGTTGCATCTGCATGCTCCAGCCCCAACAAATCCTGACCCCCCCACCACCACCACCCCCAAGCTCGCAGAGCCCCACATCATTGCTGGAAGGAGTAAGCGCTACCTGCATGACGCTAGTGGGAGAAAACACCAGGAAGCCCATGAGGGTCTCCCTGGACCTGCCCCTAGCACCTCTTCACTCAGCTATTTTTAATGTGTCCCTTAGCTGTGATAAGCCGGAACCATGAAGCTGGGTTCTATGGGTCCTTCGAGCAAATTATCAGATCCTGAGGTTGGCCTTAGGGACCCCCAAATGTGCAACTGTCATCAGAAGTGAGGGCAATCTCAGGGCATCCCCCCAATTTCACAACTCCCTTAACCCAGGAGCTCAGAGAGGAAGGAGGTGGCAGCCTATACCTTCCAGTGACAGCTGGTCCCTTCAGAATCTCCAACACCACTATTTCCTCAACACTGACTACTAGGAGCTGTGTGGTGACAGTCACAGAAGACGCATGTGGCCTCCAGACCCCAGGAGAAGTCGGCTTTCCTCCCTTCACGTAACAAGGTTGATTACGATCATTATTACCATGGGGCACAGTTCTATTACTGTCATGTAATAGAAGTTTAATTGCTAATTATAAAATAATGATACTGAGCGGCATTAGCAGTTGGATGGCACACCCCTAGAGCAAGCCCCAGTCTGTCTCAGTCCAAACAAGGAAATCAGAGCCAAGACAGTCCTGGCCTAACCTGGCCACGCCCTCCTTCATCCCCACATAGGGCCCTGCTCCTCAATGCTCCCCAAACCGGAGGCTCCTGGGCACAGTGTCCTGTTTGCTCTGCTTCCTAATCAAAGAAGGAAGGAATTTTATATCAGCCAACTGTACGCCCTAACTGCCTGGCCATACCTTTTAGGAGGAGGCATTTCCATCCTCAGTCACACGACTTGACATCTTTGTCTCTGACCATGAAAGGAAAGGCTTTAACATAGTTTCTGTCATCACTGCCACGACCAAGTTAAAGGAACGTACGTGAGGTGATGGGGTTGAGGGTACACAAGATGATGGGGAAAGGTACCTGAGGTGATGGCAGCAGGAATGCAAGGTGACGGGGTAAGGGTGCTCCAGGTAATGGGGGAGGGGTGGGAAATGATAAAGGAGAGATACAGAAGGTGTGGAAAGGTATGTGAGGTGATGGGGGCAGGTATCGCCCACCACATTCACGTCTATTGCCTTCCTCCAGGAGGATAAGCAGGCTGGTGAATTCTAGAAGGTCCTCAGGCTGCAGACCCTCCAGGGTCCCTCCTCTGTGCTTTTGGATCTACCCCGGTTTTCCTTCTGAACCCTCCAGGCCCCCCGGTAGCCCACTTTCCTTTCCCTAAGTCTCCCCAAACTCCTCCAGCTCCTTCTCTCTCTCCCAAATGCATATTTATTTTTATTAACTACTTCTTGGTCATATAATCTCTGCAGTGACCTGGGTATCTGACGCCCAGAACAGTATGCATGAGCTCCTTAGGATTTCTACCCCGATAATCTTTCTGGCAAAAGAATTGCTGAAAATGGCATCTACCTGAGAAGTAATGTCAAACACTTTTCAAATGGGATGTTTTAAATTACAAACAAAATTTGTAAGTTAGACTCCCTTACCTGGTCTCTCAGACTGTATCTTTAAACAAAGCTGTTTCACAAAATCTAAAGGCAGCTGAACAACTTCCTGTAAGAACAAATACAAAATACTCAGTGTGGGTTACCCAACAATGTGAACATACTTAATACCACAGAACTGCACAATTAGAAGTGGTTAAAATAGTAAATTGTATGTTATGCATAGTTTAGCACATTGAAAAAAAATACTCGGCATGTGGGACTTCAGAATAAAAGCTGCTCTTTTATCTTAAGGACACGTCCAGATTAAAGGAGACACTAAGGTCGACAGGTCCTCCTCAGCATGCCTGGTGTCCGCGTCGGTGGTGACCAGCAGCACGGCCCGGGTCACCCAGTCAGCCCCCACCAGGCACCCCTCACATGGCACCTCTGGTCCTCTCAGTCTGTGGGGCCAAAGCAGGCTGAGGTGGTTCTCTGACAGCACAGACATTCCTCACCAGCTGTCTCTGCAGACAACCCAAGGCTTCCACACTCCCACCTGAGAGACAGCTCAAGGGAAAGTCTGATCGAGTATTATTCTTCGGGTGAGATGTCCTGTGTGCCCATCAGCCACAGGACTCAGGGTGGCCAATAGTCAGTGCATTTAGGCAAAAAACGAATAGCAATTTCTCCACACTTCGCTGTTTCTTTGCAATTTCCTGACGTTAAGAGTTTTTATTTAATCCACATTGCTCACCATCTTCCTCGTGTTTCCAGGGTGGCAGAGCTCTGACTTCTGAAGAAGTCCCAAGAGGAGGCAAGAGACCAGCCTAGAATGAGAATGCCAGGACCCTGTCGCTGACACTTCACGCCCATCCCACCCTGTCTCACCTATGTGTCACCACCAGCCTGTGACTGCCCTGTGACATGGATGTACCCATGCTAGCCCATGGCTTCCCTCCCTGTCACATGAATCCAGGGGCCCGTGGCCATCCTGTCACACAGATATGTTTCTGCAGTCTGCTCCGGTCCAGTCAATCGTTGCCTCCCAGCCGGCTGTGCCAACTTAAATGATTTTGTCATTTACCTAAACATGGTAAGCGAAAAAAGGTGAGCTGCTAAAAATTTAGTTCTGAATTAGGTAAGGTGAAACACTGGAAGAGAGTGGGAAGTATACAAATCCAAAACTTAGGTCATCTCACAAAAATCCAAGTTCTCACTTCACTTCAAAGAAACCGAAAGCACGAAGTGTGCAGATGGCAGACTGCAGATGCTGCGGGAAAGATACAGACTGTGTCTGAGTCCTCTCTCCGGGAGACATGGAGGTCCACACAGCATGAGGGCAGGGCCCATGTTCAGTGCGGTCCCCATACTCTCCAGCTGGGAAAAGAAGCGCAGGACGACACTGGAGTCATTGACGCTGTTACAGAAATGTGGAGAGGAGCAGGTGGGGTCAAGTCCAGAGCCCAAGAGGCTCAACTACTCTCAACACGCATCTGGGAACCGCCCAGCCGAAGCCCAGTCACCAGGTGAAAAGCAGAACTGCATTTCTTTAAACAGCCTTAAATTCCTGATTTTAGAGTGACTCCAATTTGTGTTTTAAGTCAGACAAGATGTGTCCAGTAGTGTCCTTCTTAGCATTTGGCTGCATTTACTAACATTTGATCAGATTCATGAACCACATGATCCAGCCATCCTGCCTGCCTGACGGACAGACAGACAACTCCTACGGAACCTAAGAGGACAGCGGTCGTTAGCAGGGTGTTCAGCTGGCACCTGCACAAAGCATTAACTTTGGAAAAACTGTAGTTAAGACTACAGAATTCTCTCACGGAAGGTAACTTGAAGGTGTAGCCACATCAGCTTCCCTGCTGACAGGCACCCGCACTGAAAGGGTTGAAGGGAAGCTGCAGAGGACAAGGGGCCGCCAAGGCTGGAGGTGGTCTGGCAGGTGAGCAACATGTCTACAGCCTTCTAAACACTCCCTCAGGAGAACAGCATCCCCTCACGCATCATGCAGTGGCCTGGCAATGCTTCCCTCAAGTCAAGTTAAATGTGAAGTCAAGGCTGCCCCAGTGGCCTCCAGCCTCAGGAGGACTGGCTCCACAAAAGCAGGGCAAAACTTCTAAAATTCCACCAGTGTCTCAGCTACTCCCGGGATTTAAGATGCAAAACACCTGCAGGCATGAGGGAAACAGCCTCTTCCCTGTTTGTGAACCTCCAGCTCCCATAGAGACTGGCCCAGACCCGTCCCCAAACCAGCAGGGCAGGCCCAGAGGCAGCACTGCACAAGGGGTGTGTCTGTCACTCTGACTGGGCCTCGCCTCTCATCACTGTGCTGGTTGTATCTTGTCCCAGGGTACGCAGGAGGGAAAAGCTTTCACCAGGGCGCCATTCTGCCCTAATCCGTGACAGAGGTCACAGAAAACAGTGGCATTTACAAGTATTGGTTATGCCTGAACATGGTCTGTGCGGACCACATTTGGGTCTGTGGTCCATATTTCAGCCACGCCAGGGCCTGAGTGGCAGTCCTCTATGGGCAGCACATCTACCTGGAGGAAAAGCAGGTTGTGCTCACTTTGGTGTTGTGTTCGCACAGAGCAGGTTTGTCAGTGGGAAGGATATTCCCAGAACAGGACCTTCTGGGCTCACCTCACACACCCAGAGCCCCACCCACTGTGGACAAACTAGACCAAACCTGGAGTCAGAGCATGTGCCCAGGGCCCTAGGGGGTCCCTGATGCTCTTCCCACAGCCAGGCCACCCTCAGCTGGAACCCCGAGCCTTCCACCACCCTTCTTCACGCTGACCACCCCCCCCACCCAAGAGAAAGGTCTAGAGCCCCCGAGCACTTTAAGACAGAGAAATGCTCCCATTCAGCCAGATAAGTCCGCTCTTTCCTCAAGGAGGGAGCTGGCCGTTGTTGGCATTCTGCATTCACTCAGACACCGTCCAGGTAAGAAGCAGGCGGCACCCAGTGAAGGAGGCTCAACTGTGGGGCCTCACAATTCAACTGGATAGTGGATACCTCAGTGGGAGTGGTGCCAGCCCTCAGGGTGGCCCCCGGTGAGTCCTGCTGCTGTGCAGTCCTTCCCACAATGCTTAGGGCTGAGCTGTGGGCCACCAGGACGCTGTGGAAATGACAGACACGACTCTGGGCCAGGCCATCTCTCAGTGCGTACTGGCGAGCCAGGGCCAAGTCACGAGGGTCCTCAGAACCCTGCGGTGAGTCCGTTGGAAGGTCGCCCTGCCAGCTCCACAGCGGGGCCACCTGGGAGGCTCTGATGCCTTCAGATGAGACTGCAGCCTTGAGGGCCCCATCAACACCACCCACAGCTTGTTGAGGAATCTCCTTGAGGATGTTTGCTGGCAGAGCCATTTAAATTCTACTTTGCCAGGCAATCCTTCAGCTTCACAGTAACTTTCCCTCGAGCTCCTTAATACCACTGTTTTCAGGATGGACACAAAGTACAATATTTGCAAAATGGAGGCAGTGCTCTCTGTGCTCAAAGTGACACCTTTGCCAGTTTGTTCAGGGCTCTGCTCTAAGGCCCGCAGCAGGGCCAGCAGATGCTGAGACATAAGAAGAGCTGTCCCAGGCGTGCACTCAGGGTTGCCAGGACCGCAGGGCCACTGAGCTCCTACGCTGCCCGCTCCCCGCATGTCCAACAGCAGACCTCGCCCATAACAGGCACACCTCTGGTCAATGAGACCAGAAAGAGCCAGCAATGCAGACCACCTGAGGCAGAGGCAGGCAGAGGGCTCAGGGATGCTGTCTGGACCTCACTCGCGAGCCATCACCAAACTGTATGCCTCCATGAAGGGAGGGTGGTGGAGACAGAGGGTCCTGGCAAGTTGGGGGGTCTCACATGGTCTTCGTGAACTTCATGCTTTTCAGCTAGAAAATGGAAAGAACACTATCTGCTCTGCTACCTCACAATTCAGCAAATGAGAAAAGCACTTGGAAACTTTGTAACTAATGCGAGGAGATATCATTAAGCACAGAATTCCACACTATAACTAAAAAGTTATTGACACAGATCGTACCCATGAGATTAGACCACATGCATAAAAACCACTTACCCCACAATGAACATAGTTCTCTCCCAAAAACTCTTTCATGACATTTTTGCTGAAGTCCACTATGTTCTGTAGGTGCTGAAATATCTCTTCTGAGGTCTGTAAAAGAGAAGCACACAAAGGCCTCAATGCCCGGACCTCCATGGATGTGCTGGAGGGAGAAAACTCTGACTCCATCACGAGCCCGGCACACACAGGGCTGCCACGTCCGCGGCCACAAACAGAAGATCGCGGCCCTGGACTTGGGTGAAGGGGAGCCTCACCACAGACACGCCAGACCCACAGGAGCTCTGCATTCTAGCCAGGGCCCCAGGTGACCCACACCTGCGCCCACCCTCCTCAACTGCCAGGAGGATTGTGGATTCCACCAGCAGCCCATACACATCTCCTAAGGAATTTGACTTTAAAAATCTCTCCCATCTAAAAGTCATTAGGTACTTAGATTTTATAATTCAGCCTCCAAACAGAGAACAAAATATTTTATCCCAAATCAGATGTTCTTAAAGAGCTAATAAGCTGTGAGATTTAGGTGAGACAGGAAGTCAGCCTTGTGTCCCCACTTCCAACCCAAGGCAATGAGTCCGAAGGTCCATTATAGGTCTGTCTCAGGCAAGAGGACCATTCTCATCGAGGGCAGCCGGGATGAGCCTCACAGATGGGCCAGGCCTGGGAAGGTGCTGGGCTGAGCGGCCGCCTGCACCTGTGACATGGCAGACCATGGCCGACATCCTGGGTGTGTGCAGCGTGACTGAATCAGAACGCAGCCGACAGAAAAGCCCAGACACACCCAGTGGTCCACACAACTGTGGCCACAGCGTTTCTGACAGAAAGCTCTTCTTGTTGACAGAATCACCACCCACAATTCTCCACCAATAATGAGGCCAGTGTCATACCACACCATTTATGTAATAAAGAAAGGCAAATTGTTGCCTTGGAAGACACTGCCTTAATAAATGGAAACAGGAAAAGCTGACAGAGTCTGGCCTTCACCAAGTCTGGGCTCTGCAGATGCTGAGTGGGGAGGAGGGACTGGAGGCCGCCTCCCAAGCCGCCTCCCAGATGGGTCTAGTTTCCACTCGAATTCCACAGAAAGACAACACCCTACACAGCTCTCCTCAGCAGCTGAGGCAGGGTGGCCCTCCTTCCACCTGCTCCCTCCCATCCTGGGCTGTTCTTCTCTGCACTGACCACACCATCCCCAGATCTCAGCAGTCCCGTCCACACTGGCTTTCTCCCATAGACCTCCCTTCTCTATGTGGCTAACCTTCATGCCAGTTGGCTGCCAAAGGCACCCATTAGCCATCACCTCCTGTCCCTTGCTGGCCATCTCTCCGGAACTCAGACTCATCTCTCTTACACCCTGATCTTGCGCCCAATTTCCACCCACCACTCACCACCCACCCCATGCCCGCTGTGTAGGGTGTGGCCCCAGCTCCTGCCTTTGCTCCCCTTTCAAGGTAAGAGCTTCTGCTTTGGAGCAGGGCTCACGCCAGCCTTCCCCCCCACCCCCCGCCCCAGGACCATGAAAGAGGAAGGGCTCCACCGGTCTCTCCGTGTTGACCTTCACGACCACTGAGGTTTAGATAAAAACTACGGTGACAGCCCATCTCCAGAGAGATGGGCATTGCACTCAGCGGTCAACCAGCACACATGGCCACAGCAACAGCTTTCTGAGGGTGTCCAAGTACTGTGCTTGGGGGCTGGGGTGACTCAGCAAATGAAAATCAATACTTCAGCTGAACTGCCTATTGGGACCGGTAATGCCAGCCATCTACCAGTGTCACAGATTTCATTTTTATAGATACAATTCCACATGGGGAAACGGAGGCAGCAGTGTATAAGGAAATCACCACAGCAAAGCTGAGACTGGGCCCTGGCTGTTCTGGCCACCAGAAGGGCTCTCTGAGCTGCATGGGGCGGCTCCCAGCTCAGCACCAAGGGATTCACCCCAGCAAGTCAAAGCACCAGGTCCTGCAGGAATCAGGGACATACTACTTTCTGCACTGAATGCTTGTGTCATGTTTAAATTTCTACAATTAGTACTCATAATTCTATATCAGAAATAAAATAAAAGTAATTGTTTCAATGATTTTGTGGCAAACCCACCAATCTTACCTTCTTCCTATTTGGAGGAAACTTCAGAAAACGCAGTACCACGCAACGCTGTTGGAAAATAAAACAAAATCTGATTAGTACTCACCCAAAGCCTGGGGATAAGGGTGTGTGGCTGTGGAGAAGGGGCCTGGGTGGGTGCGGGGGCTATCCTCAGCAGCACAGTGGCTGGAACCCTGAATGACAGTCCACTGGCCTGGCACTGGGTCAGATGCCCAAGGACACATTGGGGCCACAGGGCAATCAGGAAAACTGTGCCCTCTGACCTAGCCAGCCCACTCCCAGAAATGTGTCTCAAGAAATAATTAAGGATGTGCAGATTTTAGCTATTGCATATAAAAGTACTATTTATAACTCTAAATACAATGGAAACAACCTAAATGTCCAACAACAGTGGGATGGTTAAATACAGTGGGGCACATTCCAAACCGTGGAACACTGTGCTGTCACTGACAAGAATATAGGAAGAGCTGTGTTTTACAGATGCTGATGTATAGACATCATCTATTGATAAAAGAAAAAGGTTACAGAATAGGGCTTATAGAATTAACCCATTTTTTTAAACATATAACTATACATGTGTATATACGTATATATGTGTGTGTGTGTGTGTGTGTGTGTGTGTGTGTGTGTGTATGATGTACAAGTAAGTTCTATTTATGTGACATTCAAAAACAGGTAAGACTAAGATCCAGTGATCACCCCTCAGGCAGGTGGGAAGGTCCCTGAGAAAGGTTCTAGAAGGGGCTGGTTATGGGGTTATGGGTCTACGTACTTTGTAATAATCAAACTATTGATACACTTATGATCTCAGCACTTTTCTGTAGGTTTGTGACACTTCACTAGAAGTTTGCAAAACAAAAATGTTTAAATAAAGTATGTGCACACCCCATCTGAAAGGCCTCCAACACAGTTAACTGTGTCTCCAGGTAGCAACAATTGGGACAAGTAAATTTTTTTTTTCTTTAAGATTTTATTGGGGAATTGGAGGAGGGAAAAAACTTTGGGAAATCAAGGAAGGGGAACAGACAAGTTGCTGTCCTTTTTGTTCTATAGTCTAGTTGTGGAGGACGTCGTTTCACTGGCCCATGTTGGTATTATCATTGCACTCTTCCCGGGTGAGGCAGTAGCTCTCTAGCCATTGGACGGCCGCTCACAGCGGCTCACGGCAGCTCACAACAGCCCACTGCAACAGGGGCTGCAGCCTACGCCATCGCCGGCGACTCACGGCAGCCCAGCTCCAGGTTGAGCTGTTGTTCACCATCTTAGCTGTAAAGGGCACAGCGTCACTGGCCCATGTGGGATCCGAACCGGGGCCCTGCTGCTCAGAGCTGGCATCCCAAGCCAACTCTTAGCCAACGCATCACTTGGCTGGCCCAAGTAAATTTTTTTTAAGCTCTGTTTATTTGGGTTTTCCAATTTTTTGTAATGCTCATATAATAAACACGAATGTGAAAAAATAACTTTTTAAACAAGTACAGCCTCTGAGGGGGCCACTCTCCAAGAAAATGCCCTGGAGACACCGTGGAGTCTCAGTAACCAGGCAGAATCATTCCATTTGGACACCTTGGGAACCATTCCTGCAGACACAGGCTTGCCAGGCCGAGGACTGAGGCTGGAAAGCTGAGCTGTGCCCAGACAGCTTCCGTGAGCAGGAGGAGGCCGTGGGGGCCCTGGGACCTGGACAGGCAATTGAAGAGGGTCAGAAGTGCAGCTTTCTGAACCAAAATGTACCTGAGAGCAAGGAAGGCCCCTGGAGACCAGATGCTTCTCCCCAGCCCACAGCCCCTCCGGTACCTCCTACTCCACTCAGAGACAACGCACTACCCTCTCCAACTCGGGATACCTGTTACCTGCTTGGGCCACAAGCCCAGACTTGGGGAAGCCAAGGTCAACAGCATGCCCATGCCCCTATCTCCTGCCAAGTCCAGTCACACATCAACACTTGACCGTGGGCATCAACCAGCCAAGGATCATTTCAATGGAACTGCGATTTCATCAGAATTCAAGGAAAAACAGTAGGTGACATGCAGAAACCCTAATTTAAGGCAACTTTCCAGAAACTCAGCCCCCAAAAGTGCTTCAACTCCTCACCTGGGCAGCACCATTCTGTTCAAGACCCGCCGAGAAATTCTGAGTCATGTTGTGTCTGCTTCAAGGAAAACTGCTTTCTCTACTGACCTATTTATCATCCAAAAATTGTCACCAGAAGTCACCAGCCCACCCCAGGGAGCTGCAGTGTCAGCCTGAGGGCCAGTACCACAAACATGAGCACTCAGGTGGCCCACCTGTTCTGGAAGGGAAGTGTTGTCTGCCCCGTGTGAGGGCCTGACCAGGCTGGACTGGAAGCCCTGGGATGTGCCAAGAGGCTGGCTGTGTTCCCGGCAACATCCATTCAGATGGGTGGCAGAGAAAACGGGAGAAATTCACTTTACCAGCCTTTGTTGGCAGAAAGACACCATTAGTCCAAGGGCCACACACAGCAGAAGGGCAGGACTGCTGCGGCCACCCACGGGAAGATACCCACAAAGGAGCCCCCCAACACAGTAAGAGCCAGGGCTCTGCCCCGTCACCAGGCCTTAACCAGCTGTGAGGAAATGACTCTTTTCCTTTTTTTTTTAAAGATTTTATTGGGGAATTGGTGGACGGGGAACAGTGTTGGAGAATTGGGAAGGGGACCAGCCAAGTTGTTGTTCTTCAGTCTTCGTTGTGGAAGGCACCAGTCACCATCTGGCTTCCTGTCGGCAGCTCATGGCTTCTAAACTCAAGGTGCTGTGTTCAATCTTAGTTGTGGGTGGGCGTAGCCACCATCCCATGTGGAAGTCGAACCAGCAGCCTTGTTGTTAAGAGCGCAAGCTCTATCCACTGAGCCATCCGGTGGCAGCTCAGATCAAGACGCTAAGTTCAATCTTTGCTGCAGGTGGGCACAGCCACCATCCCATGCGGAAGTCGAATCAGCAGCCTTGTTGTTAAGAGTGCATGCTCTATCCACTGAGCCATCCGGGCGGCAGCTCAGCTCATGGTGCTGAGTTCAGTCTTAGTTGCGGGTGGGCATAGCCCACCATCGAACAGGCAATCTTGTTGTTACACCAGCTGAGTCATCCTACCACCTGTTGGCAGCTCAGCGACAGCTCAGCTCAGGCGCAGTGTCACTGGCCCATGTGGGACTCGATCCAGCAGCCCTGTTGCTCAGAACTTGTGTTCTTAAGCCAACTCTTAACCAACTGAGCCACTCGGCCGACCCCTCCTTTCCTTTTAAAATAAATATCTGAAACCAGATGTTTAAAATGTACCTTCTTCTTAATGTCTAGGATAAAATGCTAAGAAAGGGGAAAGAAAGGGGTGAGATTAAGAAGACAGGGCTTGTGCCCTGCACAGGCCAGGTCAGGGCAGATATCCACCACAGCAAGACAGGGAATTGAGACGGGAGCTGCACCTTTTATGTCTTGGAGGATAGAAAAATGTGGCACACTCACTCATACCTTGGAACACTAGATGAGAATCAATGATTTTTACAAGCTGAAAGAGCCACTGATTGGAGGAATGGCACATATAAACACACACACATATTAAACAATCTCAAAATACACAAAATTAATGGTACAAATTGTCACTTATAAAAGAAGCAGAGAGCACTCAGTGCTGCGAGGGTTCCAGGTGTGGCGAGTGGGGGTGCACTGGCATGTCGTGTGCTGAGGGGCCACCATCTTTGTCGTCCAAACACCAACGCGTTCATTCAGTAAAGCCCAGCTTGGAACAGCTCTAAAAGCAGAACCATGCAAATGTCTGATAGCACAGAAACAGAGACTCTGGCTGCCCGAGTGCTCTGTGGCCCTGAAGACATGCATGGAGTATTTTCTACATATTTAGGCTGTAAAGTTGAGTCAAAAGGCAAAAAAAAAATGGACACAATATATTAAAAGGGACATCTGCCCACCCGAAGCCCGAGGGAGGAAGGCAGTAGGTGGCTCCAGGGCCTCCTACCAAAGAGCAAGGGCGAGGCCACTGTGACCCACAGGCACCCCTGGACCGGTCGCCTCAGCCACAGCCTCACTGCCACAGGCCAGGCCCAGGCCAGGTCTTCCACTGGGATGACGAGATGGCCCAGGACAGGGCCCCCAGAAGACCCCAAGGTAGCACAGATCAGGCAACTTTTAAGGGAAACGGAGAGCAACAAACCCAACAGAAAGAATGGCCCTTTGGATGTTGCCCTGGACATCTGAAATGGCTCAGGGTGCTTCTCAATGAGGTTGCCTTCTGCAGCCACCCTGCTGACCCCAGCCTGGGTCATCCATCAGAACACCTGTGAAACAACACCAAGTCACTCGCCCTTTGGTGACATGACCAGAAATGCACTCCAGGGTCCATAGTGGGATTAGGGGGATAAGGGGATGGGACAAGGGCAGGACATGGTGCTGGGTGGATAGCCTCAGACGAAACAGATGAGGTTGAGTTCAGACGCCTGGCAGAGGGGAGCCCAGATCTCCCCACGGGTCCCAGACAGAAAGACACATTCCCTCCCAAGCTTTGGTGGCCCCATGTGGACCCACAGCTGCTACAGGACTGAAAACAAATGCAGATGGGAGCCACAAGGTGGGGATGGGGCAGGGGAGGTGTAGACCCCAGCAATGAAGGGGCAGGACACTCGGGGCTGCAGAAAAATAGGCACTCGGTGGTCCCTAAAAGGATTCACAGTGTGATAGCCAGACAAGAGGCAGAACGATCTGTAAAGACAAACCAAACTGCATGGAACGCACAGTGGGTCTACAGGGAGACATCAAGACTCCAGACCCTCCCAGGCCACATGAGGGCCATAGAGCAGGTGATGGAGGACCTGGGGCTGCAGTCTCGTCCTTCTGCAACAAACACAGAAAATTTCCTCATTTTCTTGATAAACAGAGGTCACTGCTATCCTGAGGTCTAACCAAGGAGGAAACGGAGCAACCATGTCACCTCAGGAAACCAGGTCTAGCTGGGCAGACCCTCCTCCACCCCTAAGCATGCCAGGAAAGCAGAGCTCAGTGCTCTCCACGGCCAGGACTGGAAACCAC